TGCTTCACAGTAACAGATCCCAGGGACGAGCCAGGGGGAGGGGGAGGAAGATGACCAAAGGCGCGGTCGAAAAGAAAGGTCTTCAGCAGGGACCTGAAATTAGGAAGAGAGGGGGCGCGGCGAAGGGAGTGAGGAAGGGAGTTCCAGAGCCTCGGGGCATAGTGGCTGAAGGCACGGCCGCCGAGGGTGGAGCGGAGGACTCGGGAGACAAGAAGGAGGCCAGACCCAGAGGAATGAAGGCCACAGGTACTGTTTTGAGGAGAGAGGAGGTCAGAGAGGTGCAGAGGAGCGGAGGGATTTGAAGACAATGGTGAGGATCTTGAAATTGATCCTCTCTGGGATAGGCAGCCAGTGCAGTCTGGCAAGGACTGGGGTGATCGGGGAGCGGAGTTTGGTGCGGGTGAGAATACGGGCGGCAGCGTTTTGAATGATCTGGATTTTATGGATGGTAATGGAGGGGAGACCGGCGAGGACAGCGTTTGAATAGTTGAGCCGAGAGGTGACAAAGGCATGGACCGGGGTTTCAGCAGCTTTCAGAGAGAGGTATTGGTGGAGACAGACGATGCGTCGGAGGTGGAAGAAAGCAGTACTGGTGAGAAACCAGATGTGAGGGAGGAAGGATAATTTGGGGTCGAACCTGACGCCTAGGTTGCTTACGGGTTCAGAGAGTTTTATGGGGCATTCGGGTAGGTGAAGGAGTGGAGGAGGTAAGAACCGTGAGATTTTAGACATTGACAACAACAACAACAAGATTCCATTTATAGAGCGCCTTTCACGTCGGGAGGACGTCCCAAGGCGCTGGACAGTTGGGTCAGGACACGAGCAGGGGGGAAATAGTCAGGGTGAGGGGAGGGAAGGGAGAGAGCGAGGAGGGGGGAAATGGTCAGGGTGAAGGGAGGGAAGGGAGGGGGCGAGGAGAGGGTAGAGAGTCGAGAGGGGAGCTGAAGGCACGGTCAAAGAGAAAGGTCTTGAGACCGGCCTTGAAGGAGGAAAGGGAGGAAGCGGCGAAGGCACTGGGGGATGGAGTTCCAGAGCCTCGGGGCTGAGAGGCTGAAGGCCCGTCCACCGATGGTAGGGCAGTTGGGGCAGGGAATGTGCAGCAGACCGGAGCCAGAGGAACGGAGGGTACGGGCAGGTAGGTAGGGGAATAGTAGGTCGGAGAGATAGGAGGGAGCAAGGCCGTGAATGGGTGAGGATCTTGAATTCGATCCTCTGGGGGATGGGGAACCAGTGGAGGCGAGCGAGGGTGGGAGTGATGTGGTCCCGGAGCCTGGTGCGGGACAGTACACGAGCTGCAGAGTTCTGAATGACCTGCAGCTTGTGGAGGGAGGTGCCGGGAAGGCCGGCGAGGAGAGAGTTCCCATAGTCCAGCCTTGAGGTGACAAAGGCATGGATCAGAGTTTCAACAGCGTGAGGGGTGAGGTAGTGCCGTAGACTGGCGATGTTTCGGAGGTGATGGAAGACGTTTTTTTGAGGAGGGGGGTGATGACAGCAGTTTTGAGGAGGGCAGGGACTGATCCGGAGGAGAGGGACTGGTTGATGACATCAGCTAGTAGTGGGCAGAGGAGGGGGAGCTGGGTGACCAGCAAGTTGGTGGTGAGGGGATCGAGGAGGTGATGGTGGGTGAGAGGGAGGAGGGAGAGATGGGGAGGAAGGAATGTAGCATGGATGATGGGGAGGGTGAGGGGGACAGAGAGGGCATGGTGGTGGGTGACAAGCGGCAGGTGGATGAGGCTGCCTGGAGGATGTTGTGTATTTTAGATGAAAATGTCCATGACCTCCTCGCACTTGGCATTTGATATGAAGATTGAGGAGGCCTGAGGAGGAGCACAGAGGAGGTAGTATTGTTTTTAGCCTCCAAGATGATGTTGGGGTAGAAGGCCGTTTTTGCACGTGTCAAGGAACAGCGGTAGCTGTGGAGATGCTCGAGCCACAGTTGGCAGTGAACTATCAGGCCAGTTTTCCGCCATCTGCACGCCAGCCGGGTTTGGGTTTTTAGGCGGCAGAGATGGTTGTTGTACTAGGGGAACAGGTGGGTTTGGAGATGATCCTGGATTTCAGGGGGACGAGGGAGTTGAAGGTAGAGGAGAGGCAATCATGGAGCAGCTTCAGGATCTCCGCTGGTGGAAGGCCAGAGGGATAGGATGTTTGATGATGTTAGGGCCTTTGTGAGGGTCTTTTAGAAGGGCAGTAGAGGATGGTTGAGGGCTTGGTGGAGGAGAGAGGGTTGCTGTTTTCTTTAACTGTGACGTCACTTTGTGAATCAGTGCCGCCTCGTCACTTACACGCCCCCTCCGCTCTCTCCTGACTCCGCTCCCGATTGAGTGGCTCCTCACCTGGCTGGGCTTTATACCCACAGCTCCACCTCAGCTCCGCCCCGCGCTCTCCTGACTCCACTCCCGATTGTATTCGTATTTACTTAGACTTAACAGCCAAGGTCTTCACAAATTTGAGGATTGAGAGAGGAATGGAACGAGTGAATTTTTCAAATATATAACACATGGCTTTGAAAATGCCATCTGGTACACTTTCTGCTGCTTGTCCAGCTAGGACCACCCTACACGTTGGGATTTGGCTTGCAGGGTTAATAGCAGCTCAGTGAAAAGAATCCCTGCTCCCAGTGAAAGTGAACAAGAAAGCGGTCAAGTAGAAATGTGGTGGAAAAGGGATTTCAGCAAACATGACCCTGTTGAAGAGAGAGACTTTGAATTTTACTTGACAAGTGTTTCTTGTTATTTTTCTATTGATCATGTAATTTTTTTTAAAGAAAATGTATGAACCCTTTAAAAAGTCTTAGAATTGAGCAGCAAAGTGTTTTTCCATAAACCCTGCTTGCTGGAGAGATAAACTGAGTTCCCGTACTTGTGGGAACTTTATTTTCGTTTATGTTTATTTCTTCAATGATATCCAGCCCCCTGTTGCCAGCTACACTCAGGAGCTCACAGCTCAGCTATCATTAAAATGTTACGACTTTGAAGAATGTCTCGTTACGAGAATCTATAAATGCTAGACCCTAACCTGAACGTTCTGTGTTTCAAGACTGCTTTGCTAAATTACTATGACTTTAAATAAAAATGATGAGCATAATATATTAAGAACGTATATCAAGCATGTATTTCAACAGGAAATTAATCTAAATCTCAAGTCAGGTTCAAGAACATTAGCCTCATGTTTGATCCTCAAGCTTCACACTTTCTATCTTAAATTGCCTAAAAGCGGAATGAATTCCCTGTACATGGTAAAGTTGAATTTTTTGAGTCACCGGGTGAAAGAGAGCTGCTGTACTGAACACCTTCAAAGAGCCACCACTGATATGATGTGCCGACATGGCCTTCTGTGCTGCAAATTTCTATGGCTCAGGAGGTGGCTTCATCAACACAATAATTCCCAGCGCTGTATTACAAATGCAAATCAGGCTCTAGTCAGAACAAAAACAACAACGTGCATATTTATAGCACTCCTCACGCTTGAAAATGAAATGCAGAAATGGCATTAAAAAACCAAACACCTGATCTCAGAGTTCTGCCAATATATGGATATGTATTTCTGCCCATATTCACGGAAATGTAAATTTGTATTGCATATATATATATATATATATATGTGTGCACACACAGAGCTCCTCCCCAGCCGCTAACCATTGTGATTAGGAATGAAAATCTAAATAAGGCTTCACGCTGATAATTGTTTTACTTCTGGAAGACATTAAAACTGTGAAGCACATGGGATTAATTGGCTACATTCCTATGAATTCTGGGTTTAAGCGCTCCGAGACGCCATCTGGCATGAATGGACGCTATATAAATGCTAGTTGTAGTTGTTGGGTTTATCGTGATTTGTTTTTGGTAATGAAATGCAAAAAATCGATCCCTGGATTTACTACAACCTACATTGTGTCCAAATTAGTAATTAATGCACAGTAACACAGTCATTCGATTGCTTGATGAATTACATCTGGAAAAGTCTTTGAGGCTGAACACAGGAAATGATAAGAAATATAACAAACTGAAGGATATATGATCCACCCAAAAAAATGAATCACAGGAAGGTAGGTGCCTATGATTTTCCTGGCTCCTGTGTTTTTATAAATGGGATTTGGAGACACATTTGCGAAGGAGGAAAATGGAGACCCACATCTGTCATTTTTACATTCTCCTGTAATCGACACCAGGTAAATAAAACTGGTACACACAATCTGTATAGTACCCAATGCTTTTGAGAGAACAATGATCAGCACACCTGGAGCATAAATCTACACTATGATATTTCCTGACTAATCTGTACCAGGGCTGGTGCTGGGCTATGGATGTAGGTGTAGTGTTGTACCCTTGATTCCGGGCTTCAGGCATGGAAGTTATTTCCTTAGGGGGGGGAAGGGAATCGAGCAGTAACCACTCTAGGTCAGTGGTCAGTCTAGCATACTTGGAGCATACTCAGTAGCAGTTCAATCTAATCATTCAGAGTAAATTCAGCTGTAGAGATAGGACTTAACTGCCCTTTCTTGTTCAAAACAGTTAATACAGTCAAACCTGTTGTTTTCAGCAACCACATTCAGGGAACTAGAGCAAAGTGGCCTTTATGTAAGGGTGGCCTCTGAGTAAGAGTTCATTAGTTCATTAACTGGGCTCGACAGCAGCACATGATGGCTTGTCTCAGGTTATTTTTTCTTCAGCATACACCAGGAGGCTTTCAAAATGATTATTTGAAAATGAACCATCGCCACATATAAAAACTAGCCAACATCCTTCAAAGACTCATTTCAAAATGATTGTCTCTCGGTTTTGTTGAGATATATTGGTTGGTCACTCACTCCATGACTGTCTGTTGGACATTCCTGTACGCAAACTGGCTGTTGTGATTCGCCCACAAAATACACACTCAATCCACTTTACAATCTATCCTGTGATGTGCTTTGAGACGTCTCAGCAGTGTAATAAGATAATAAGAAATGCAAGGATTACTATTATTAAATATAGGAATGTACTTCTGTTCACTATTAGGTCAGATGGCAACCAGATTAGCTTGTTACCGGGATCTTCGAGTCCAAGTAAACCTCTCATTCTGTAACCCGAGGAGCCGGCCAGCTACGGGTGTGATCTCCTGCAATGTACAGGCTTGCCCTGCCAGGTAAGAACTGAATGCAGCTGAACAAATTATAATTTACTGAAATTTGAACTTATTGCTGTTTACACCTAACATTTGAAAGCACCAAGTATTAACTTGTTAACCAAAATGCCCCTCCCTCTCATTATGTGTTGCTAGCATGGTTGATAATGGTTCTAGATATTGTAAAACCTGTTGGTATTTGGGGGCTTTAAAACATTTGTTATATAAATTTGGTGTACACCATGAAACAGCAATTACTGCTAAGAAATAACTTTTTAATAACCCATTATTACACTGTGCGCTAATTTTTCCATGTAAAAATGTCAAAAAGAGTATAGCATGCATGATTTGTGAAGTGAAAGTATTTTCTTTTGCAGTAACTATGTAAGATTGTGTGTTGGACATCAAAAACCTAAGTGCCTATTAAGGACTTTTGTATCAGCATTTGGAACATGCGGGGCAAAGATATTATGACATTAATCCTAATGCTATGAACTTTTTAAGCCCTGAGACCTGAGGTTGGACACTTTAATTCCTTTCCCATGTCTCGATGTGGTCCAGCTCATTTCTGACGTGTTTAATGCATTGTACAAGTCTGCAAGTGAATACAAAAGCTACAGTACCTATATATAATATAATGAAAACAGGCTGGCCTGTTTAACAAAGTGAAAGTCACATGCTGTAGGCATAATGTAATTAGTATGTCAATTGTAAAATAAACAGAATGCCAGGCCAACAAATAATGGGACTGGGACCTGGCATCAGCAATTCAGGAGTATTCAGTCACTGACTTTCACAAAAGCCATTCTGTTTTCTTCCTGAAATCTGAGTTTACAGTGTGCAGATAGATCAGGATTTTATTTTGCTCAAAATGGCAAGAGTTTGTTTTCCAGTCAAGTCTGAGCGACACCATAATAATAATAATAATAATTCTTGCATTTGATATAGCGCTTTTCACGTCTTCTAGACGTCCCAAAGCGCTTCACAGAATATACTGTAAAGTGAATTGACTGTATATTTGTGGGCGAACGCAGCAGCCAATTGCGCACAGCAATGTCCCACAAACAGTCATGGATTGAAAATAACCAATTTATTATTGTTTTGTTTTGGTGGGATTATTATTAGGCGTGTGGAGTAAGGAAACTTGCCCAAGGTTTCGCCCTGCCTGGAATTGAACTCAGGTCTCTCACTTACAAAGCAAGTGCTCTAACCACTGAGTTGCACTGAGCTGTCCTTTCTCCCTCACATCCGCACCACAGCTGGCACCGCCTTCCATCACCTCCGGAACATCGCCAGACTACGGCATTACCTCACCCCTCACGCTGCTGAAACCCTGGTCCACGCCTTTGTCACCTCAAGGCTGGACTATGGGAACTCTCTCCTCGCCGGCCTTCCCGCCACCTCCCTCCACAAGCTGCAGGTCATTCAGAACTCTGCAGCTCGTGTACTGTCCTGCACCAGGCTTCGGACCACATCACTCCCACCTCGCTCGCCTCCACTGGCTCCCCATCCCCCAGAGGATTGATTTCAAGATCCTCATCCTCACCTACAAGGCCATTCACGGCCTCGCTCCCTCCTACCTCTCCAACCTACTATCCCCTACCTACCTGCCCGTACCCTCCGTTCCTCTGGCTCTGGTCTGCTCCACGTCCCCCGCCCCAACCGCCCTACCATCGGTGGTCGGGCCTTCAGCCTCTCAGCCCCCAGGCTCTGGAACTCCATCTCCCAGTGCCTTCGCCTTGCTTCCTCCCTTTCCTCCTTCAAGGCCGGTCTCAAAACCTTTCTCTTTGACCGTGCCTTCAGCTCCCCTCTCGACTCTCTTCCCCCTCCTCGCTCCCTCCCTTCCCTCCCCTCACCCTGACCATTCCCCCCTCCTTGCTCCCTCCCTTCCCTCCCCTCACCCTGACCATTTCCCCCCTGCTCGGGTCATGACCCAACTGTGCAGCGCCTTGGGACGTCCTCCTGACGTGAAAGGCGCTTTATAAATGGAATCTTCTTGTTGTTGTTGTTGTTGTTGCAGGACTCCGTCTAGGTAATTGCTTCTGTCAGCATTCTCCTTTCGTCTGAATGCATAAAATCCTTTTCTGTCTTCCGGACGATATACCCCTGTGATTTGATGATTTGAAATGCACCGAAGATCCACCGTGTCTGTCTTCCAGCTCTCTTCTCAATATGCAGAGATACCGAGTAGAGTTGCTGCCAACCCTAGTTCCTGTGAAGTTCATTCTGTTTGTCTTTGGTGTTCATTAAGGTGCATGACTCCAGAGTGAGGGAATTGGGCACTTTATTTTTTGCAGCTTTGAAAGTCATTGACTGGATTTCCATGCATTTTCCCTTAACAGTATGCCTGAATTTTAACTTTGAAAGCATTCCCCACTCTTCCCCTCACATTTTCATACTTAAGCAAACATCCACCTTCATGCAAGTGGTACCCTAGGCTACACTAAGTGCCTCTTCCCCACCCCGACACACCTACAGATACAGTGACGTGGCAGAGAACAAGAGACTGCTCCTGTGGTGACCTTTTTGCACCACTCAGCTGGATACTGTCTCTCTTACCTCTCAGGCCATTTCTCCTACAATGGCATTATTTCGCATGAGTGTAGCTGTCAGCATGTTTTTTTTATTACAGATCCAAGAGACTTTTATTTATTTGTCCAAAACATTGCACATGTAAGTCCATCAATTGGCAACTCATCCTCCAAGGCGTAAAAGTGTTTATTTTTGCCAAAGGCCTTCCTCGTGGAGTTTCAGCACGTTCAAACACAGTGAGTCAACAACAAATAAATGTACAGTGTGTTCGGCCACATTGCCAAGTTATTTAAGTTTAGATCCCCAGAAGGCACACTCATACTATACAAGGGCCCTCCCCGGTCACTGTAAAATAAGCAAACCACACCAACACACACCCAATACACTGTGCAGAGAACAGTGACTGATCCCAGCATTTTATGAGATGAGCTATGAGGTAAGGTGCAATAAGCCAAAGCTCTTTAGTTTTAAAAACAGATGCATTGGAGGGAGCCCTATTGAGCTGTGTAACATGCTGGGATAGAGAAAGTAAAAATACTTGCATTTGATATAGTGCCTTTCACATCGGGAGGATGTATCAAGCTTTTCACAGGATACTGTAAAGTGCATTGACTCGGTGAACACAGCAGCTAATTTGCGCACAGCAATGCCCCACAAACAGCCATGAAGTGAATGATCAATTTTATTGTGAACGTTTTGTGAACCCAGAATGATATGTAAAATACTTAAAAGCAGCAGAACAAGCAGACACAGGATCAGGGTATGTGAGGTGGCATGTTTAGGACAGACACACACACACAGATACTCATACACACATTGGTTTTAAAACGTACTCAGCCATATATGTCCACTCATTGTCCTGATAAATTGGGCTGTTCTGTGTCTGAGGGTAAAATTATTTCTCTATACTACAAACAATTCCACCAGTGACTTTCTTTCTCAAAGACTTGCTTCTCTGCCTCCACATTTCTTTCCAGCTGCTGAACAGCTGTGTTTTTGGCTGCCTATTTCTCCCTGACTCCTCTTTCGAAGGCACTGACTCATTCTCGGGTACCAATCCAAAGGCACCAGCAGTCCTCTAGTTCTTCTCCCAAATGGCTATTCGTCATGCGTATGCCTAAGACACAGTGAGTGTCGACAAGCTGTTACACTATGAAGGCATCACAGCTGAGACCAATCTGTCCTCAGCTGACATTGACACATGTGCACTTTCCTCCAAGGCCAGTTTACACATCCCACCCGCAGGCCTGTCTGGTCATCTAGCTCAATGATGGTTAGGAACTGAGTCTGCAACCTCTGGTCTCTATGGATTAGTCCAACACTGGGTGGCAGTTTTAGCTTGAGAGCCACATTCCCTACGCTAGGCCAGAGAGGGCCCTTGCGTAGCAGCTTTAAATAAACAAATCAGTCTTGAGCTCTTGGATCCATTCTTATTCTCCCGAATGCATGCTTAAAGAACAATATTGTGTAAACTGGTAGAATCTTACTGGTGTAATCTGGTAGAAACTTTGTTGAATCGAATTTGCAAAGCCTAGAAAAGCCTAGAAAAGGGCAATCATACTAAAAACCTTTTTCATTATGCGTGTTTTTAAGAGATAGATAGCCTGGCTTGGTTAACACTCTCATTGTGAATCAGAAGCCCCGCATGAGGATTTTGAGCTCATACTGCAGGCTGGCTCTCCAATACAGTGCTGGAGGAGTGCTGTATGGTCAGAGGTGCTGACCTTCAGGCATAGACATTAAACCAAGGACCTGTTTGCCTGTTCGGCTGAAAAGTCCCTTGGCACCATTGATCTGAGAGCTGGTGCCGACCAGATGGCCTGAATGGCCTCCTTCTCCACAGTAAATTCCTATGATTTAAAAAGTGAAGGATGTTTCTTCTGATGTCCTGACCAACATTTCCCCAGATTAAATTATTGGTCATTGTTGTTTGTGGAACAGGTTTGTACACAAATTAGCTGTGGGTGTGCCTACAACTGCATAAGTCCCTACACTTCAAAGTAAAAATCCTGTGAAGCGCTTTGAGACATTGCGATGTGATCTAATGCACTATATCAAATGCATCGTTCTTATTTTCCATGTTAATCTAATGGTGCCTGATCCTGTGAATCATTTTAAATAAATAAATGCAAAGAAACCACTCTCTCTTCAGAAGTCTATAGTGAGAAGGAAATGTCAAATATGTGCAATGTCAAAAGTAAACATTGGAACAAATTCCTCAAATGCTGATCAATATTCTCCTTGACAAATCTGTTCTTAATGGTGAGCTATTTGGTGCGTGCAGGTTTTGTCTTCTGGCTTGGACTAGTATACTGTGGCAGCTCCCCAGCTGTCTGGATGTGTGGGTGTTAGGTCCTGGAAATGTAAAACACTTCATGTGTCAGATTACTCTCAAGATTTAGAGCTGTTAGACTAAGCAAATCCCCTGGGCTCCAAAAGGCTGCAGGGTGTCGAAATGCTGTAGGTCTAGGAGTTCCTGAAGTGTGAACACTGTTAAAAATGCATCAGCGACTGGTAAGAATAGCATTTTCTCAGCCAGTTTTAATAACTGGCGGCAGTCATTCTGCGTTACAGAGGGCAATGGCCAGTAGCCAACATGTATCTCTCTCTACCCAGTCCCGCTGCCTCATCAAGGTCCATCTTAATAACCAGACCAGACAAACTGTAATGTTGCAGTCATCAGACTGGAATGCCTGATTCTCAGTGTCAGTTTTCAGCCTTGAAAATGCCCCCATCAGGGTCAGTTGCCGAGAGTTTCCCACGTCTTTTAACTCATAAATACCGAGTTCCTCGTGCACTTCCTTTTTCAAACAACATTTAAGGTAATTTTTGAATTTTCTCCATCTTAAGCAAGCATTAATACTTTGCAGCCTTTTGGTTCAAATTTCAATGAAAACCTTAAAAAGTAGTTTGTTTTTTTTCATTTCCCCTTTAGGTTTCATTCTGCACCCCTGGCAAATGCAGGGGATGTAGTCAAAGGCCTCTGTACTGGAATGAGCTGCTCAGTGTGTAATACTACAATGTGCTGCTAGCAGCAAAGTACTGTACAGCGGGAAGACTGTTCTATACTTTACACTATGAATCGGGGTCAAAACAACCTGTGACTAATTTAAAAATTGGTGCTTCTTGGACCATGCCTTGGTGTGTGTGTGTGCGTGTGTGTCTGTGTGTATGCGTTTTGTTTGCAGATCACAAAAACCTACACTCTGTGAACTAATCCTCACCTCCTCAATCCTCATGAGTTATACGAGTGCAGTGAGTAACTCAGTTAGCTAAAAGTGAATTTTATTATTATAAACTGACTTCCCATACTTTGAACACCTCCCAGGAGCAACAAGCATGGTGCCATCACGTAGACTGAGAACATTTCAGTTACACTCAGATTGGGAGAAACCTTAAGAAAGATATTTGTTTAAAAGGTGGCCTATGCCATAGAAATCTAACTAAACTTGTGGCATCCAAAATCCTCACAAAAACCTTCAAAATGCAACAACTTGCAGTTATATAGTGCTCTTCACACTGGGTAGCACCACGGAGCGCTTAAATATTTAAATTCAGGACATACTCTGAACTGAGTACTGCTGAAAACAAATTGTTTGAGTTGTGCAGCAGAAAATATTTTTGACCATGGTTTGATCTGCACAGAAAAGGGTTCAGTTTCTCTGGGATTTGTTCTATTGTGAGAAAGCACTTGTGGTGGCAGCAATTTGAGCAGCGAAATAAACATATTACCTGCGTCTGGATGTGGGTGGGTTTGCCACCACCTCTTGAATACCAAGATTTTGGTCCTATCATTTACAATGCACTGACTTTCACAGTAGCAGCACTGTTTGTCTGCTAGGGAACAGGTCACAGTCAGTCTTGTGAGAAGAAGAGTCAGGATATCATAAAGGTTTATAGCATTTTAATTGGGATTGAAAAAGTGAACCCAGATCAATGCTTTAGGATGCACAAGCCAGTAGAACAAGAGGACGTAGGTTTAGAGTTGCAAAGGCAACTTCAGGACAGACACCAGAAAGTTTTTCTTTACTGAGAGAGTACGTAATGACTGGAACAAGGGAGTGTGTTTGAAGCCAGGTGCAAGTGAACAGTCGTGTTCAATGAACAATGGACCTGAATCAGAAGAGCAGAGAATATAACAATAATAATAGTAATAATAATAATCCTTGCATTTGACATAAAGCTTTTCACGTCTTCTAGACGTCTCAAAGCACTTCACAGACTATACTGTAAAGTGAATTGACTGTATATTTGAAACATGGCAGCCAATTGTGCATAGCAGTATCCTGCAAACAGTCGTGGATTGAAGTGACCAATTTTATTTATTTTTTTCTTGAGCGATTATTATCAGGCATGTGGAGTAAGGAAACTTGCCCAAGGTTTTGCCCTGCTAGAAATCGAACCCAGGTCTCTCGCTTGTGAGACGAGTGCTCTAACCACTAAGCTACAGGACTCCACTCAAAAAGAAAGTTCATCTGAGAAGTGTGATAAACTGTTGGTTGAGTGCCCAGGTTATGATGTCTCTTTTTCTGGTCCGCACGTATAACCAATATATTTTTACCGGTTCAGTTACTCTTACACCAGCAGTCTAGGGACATGCAGTGTCTGCAAACACTGTTGATGTAAAAAAGATCGGATCATACAGAGGAGATGACATCACTCACATGGTTTACCTTATTAGTGATGCACACAGTCATTAAAACATTGCTTAAGCTGAAAGCAAATACCATTTTCTGTATCTAATATCTTTGATCGTTCTCAGATGCAGTCTGTGATCGTTGGCCGCAACCCAAATCCTAAATATGAAATCAGCAAAGAGGAAAGAAATCCTTTACTGCTTTTGCTTTCCCAAACTAGGAATCTTGCATTGATTCAGTAATAAATATAACACTAACTGCTGACTAGGATTTGGGGGGGAGGGGGCACATTTTATTTTTGTACAGCTTTCGTGACTCTGTAATGGCATCTTGTTGCCCTGTTAGTAAACGTTATATATAATCATGGAAGAATACATGGAGGAAATAATTGAAGGTAATGTCCAGAAGTGCTGACAGATGTGTTTCTGGCATCTCAGTGCTGGTTTGAGTTACAGTCCAAGGGTAGCTTACTTCCACACTGGGCTGAGCTGCAGGCCAGCCAGCTGTCATCAGCTTGCTTGCTGCCCGGACAGGAGGCTGTTTAGATTTAGGCACAGAATTACGCCATGTCATCCACCGATGGTCATCAGAGGCCTGAAGCCAGTTTGGTAATCTGCATTGGATAACATCTGTCCAAACACAGTTGCACAGCGTGTAAACGAATAATAATAAAAATAATCCTTGCAATATGATCGGTAGGTCTGTTGCTCCATTGTTGCATAGCTCAAAGCTTTTAATTCAAATCAGTTTATAAAGTATCCTGTTTAGTAGTGACGTGGATTCCTCTTTTGTTCTGTGGGATGGAATCCATAGGTTTGGCAGTAAGTGTTCTGAGCAATGGCTGGTTGAGATCTTTCAGTTACACAGCACATCTAGATGATGGGAAGAAATCCCAAGAAAGCATTTGTAGTTCGGAAGTGACTAACTCCCAAGTGTTATCATAACATTTGTTCAGTGGATTACAAAACCATGGTAACCATTTCTAGTCATGTTTTTACAACGTGGGAATAAAAAGAATCAGTTAAATGTGTGGTGCGACCATGCTCAAATGTACAGGGGCAGGACACCAAGGAATCTTCTGATGGGTGGGTTTGGAGAGATCGGGTCTGCATGAATACACCTTGCCAATGAAAAAAAGTTGAACTGACCAGTTGATTGTTTCCCTTTGTAGAATGTCACTTATAAACTCTGCCCTCATGGGATTTTCTTCACATCAAAGCCCTGGGCAGTTCAACGGTTATAGGGTTAAGTGTGGGAAGTTATGTGAGAAAAATGCCCCAGTGAGTCTGCTCACCTTTGAATGGTTGGGAACTGGAGTAGGTTCTTTCCACATTAGATTTATTTTACATCCTCTTGCTCGTGTGCTTGTGGAGTCCTGTAGCTCAGTGGTTAGAGCACTCGCTTTGCAGGCGAGAGACCTGAGTTCAATTCCAGGCAGGGTGAAACCTTGGGCAAGTTTCCTTACTCCACACGCCTAATAATAATCCCTCCAAAACCAAAAACAGTTATAAAAATTGGTCATTTTCAATCTACGACTGTTTGTGGCACATTGCTGTGCGCAATTGGCTGCCGCGTTCGCCCACAAATATACAGTCAATTCACTTTACAGTGTATTCTGTGAAGTGCTTTGGAACGTCCTTCCGACGTGAAAAGCGCTATATCAAATGCAAGGATTATTATTATTATTATTTAAAAGGTAGTGATCCATCTTGAAAGCAGCCTGCAAATACCCTGTGAAAGAGGCGAGAAAAAATAATCGAAAATTAATCTTCAGTGTATCTAGACTGGTTCAATTGGTAGCACCCGTGCCTTTGAGTCAAAAGTTTTGTTCAAGCCTTGTTTTGAGTTCACAGATAAGGCTAATGCTGCAATGCATTGCTGGAGGATGTGCAGCATCTTTCAGATCAGATTTTAAACCAAAATCCCCTCTGCCCATTAATAATTATATAATTGGTCATTCACTTCATGGCTGTTTGCAGGATATTGCTCTGAGTAATTGTCTGCCTACAAAAATACACTTACTACAGTTTACAGTATCCTGTGAAGCATTTTGAGATGTCCTCCCGGGGTGAAGGGCACAATAACAAATGCAAGGATTATTATTATTTTGTGTACACACAATTTAGGGCACACAAGGATTTTCAGGGAGAAATTCTACCTGGGTTCATATTTACTCTATTTTTGTTGCATTTTAGAGGGCCCAGAATTTGGCAAATTGCTGGATTAAGGTTTAATTTTGAAAGCGTTTTTTAGTGCTTCTCAAAATAATTTATATAAAAAAAGCTGTGAAATTCAGGCTGTGTTTAAGATTTTGCTTAATTTTGAACTCTCTGAAGTGCTACTTAAATCTAGACTCAGGTGAATTTCTCCCCAACTGACTTAAATTGGAGGTGCAAATTGAACAAGAGAGATTTAGTGAAACTTAAATTCATCTGGCTAACACTGAACAATCGGTTCCTAAGGTGGGATCAGGTAAAAAAGTAAACACGACCTTGCATTCCAACTGTCAGGTTTAATCCTCCACTTTAATGTGCGCGTGTGAACGATTTTGATGTTTCTACAGCTGGGCCATTGGGGACTGGGGAGAGTGCAGCCAGACATGCGGAACAGGTGAACAGCTCAGACAAGTCCAATGTGTCCGAAGAGTTGCCTTCAACAAGCTGGAAAATGTGCACGACTCTCTGTGCCCAGTGCCTGTGCCTGTGCGAAGGCAAAGGTGTAACACCCGAGACTGTCCACCTGCCTGGAGCCTTGGAGCTTGGTCTGAGGTGTGTAGTAAACCTGCTGGAGTGTTGGGTAACCAGGAGCTATTGTGGGCTCTCCTGATGCTTCTGGTTCTTTGACGTGTCGTCCCACAACCAATCACACTACATAGACAATACCAGAAGTAAGCAACTGCTTGATCTAATGATCTTGGACAGATAGAAAGCCTTTATTTAACTTTCATTTCCAATGTTTTCTCCACCGCCAACCCACCGTGAGTTCTATTTCCATAGGAACAGGAGGTCCCGTTCAGCCCATCAAGCCTGTCCCACCAGTTTATTAGATCTTGGCAGATCTTGTAATCTCAATACCCTTTCGCCATACCCCTTAATTAGTATCAGATCATCTCGCTTTTCAAACATCCCTTTCACTTCTCCGGGATTCTGGAGCAGGGCATTCCACATCTTCACAAGTTTCTGCGTGAAGAGTTGCTTCCTGATCTCAGTTATACTTGTCTTGGCTCCGATTTAAATTCTATGGAACAAGCTCAGAGGGCTGAATGGCCTCCTCCTGTTCTTGATTTCCTAGGAACAGGAAATAATTAAACTTAAATAAAGGCCTCTTATCTTGTGTTTTCTCAAGATCAGATCAACTATTTACCTAATTTACCTGGTAAATTCCATGCAACATTCAAAGAGTTCCCAATGTGGGCTGTTTTCAATTACTTGATTTCAGCAGAAAGGGCACTACAATGCTTGTTCATACCAGAGAGGTGGGTGGAAATAAACCAAGGGCTTCTGCTCCTCATTGCTACTGGCCGAAGGTCCTTGTTGGAGGACAGGATTGGATCCAGCTGTGTTGCCCTCAGCGAGTGAAGATCCTGGTGATGCTGAGTGCATACTCATTGGGGAAGAATAGTCACTTAGGTGAGGTACCAGATGGCATAAAACACCTTGTGGAACTATTCTCCAGAGTGAGAGAGGACCTTCAGGAGAGGTGAGGGAATATTTGGTCAGGGGAAGGGCTGGAAACAAACAAATTGAAGGAAAAAAACAATGAAAACATTTAAACAAGGAATGCTGCAATACAGCAGAAAATCCACTAGGATTAGCTGGTTATTTAGTTTCTGACATCGCAGTTATTTTCTGTTTCCTTTTATTCACAGCAGGTGTAATTGGTGTAATAATAATTATTCTGCACTTAGAAATACTAGCAAGGGGCATCCACAGTCATTTGACACATTGAAAGTGATTTCCAGGTTAGAAAATAGTCAATAGAATCAAATGCAGGGTACATCAGACCACATGTGCTGTACAAGCTCCTAACATGAAATAGCTAATAGTGGTTAGTGACATAAAAGCAATTATACGAGCACATATAGAGCAGGTGACTTAAATTACTCGACCCCAGCTCTCATGGTTTGACAGCTTCTTCCGCTCTCCATTATGTAACTGTTTAACAGTGACTTGTAGCTCTCAATGACTGCATGTGCCTTTCATTGCCTTTGCAGCTTTCAAATTGGGCAATTTCTTCTTTTAAGAAAACTTAAATCAACGGATGCAGCCTTTGCTTAGTAATTATATGGAGTTCCTGTTGGTGTAATAGGATGAGAAATGGCTCAAATTATTTCCTTTGATACTGTCTTGCAGCCTCCTGCTTGTTTTAAACAGATTTTTGATACTGCAGAAATGCCACAAAAAACAAACTGTGTGTGCTGTTATGCTGCAGTCATCATTTCCCTGAAGCTTTCAAATCATCCAGTGATGATAATTTTTTGCTTCAGACTAAAACAAATAGTATTAGCGCGGAAGGTCAGCTGCGTAATGTTTATGAGAAATGGAAGCACTCAAACTGATTCTGTGTGACAACAGGGGAACATGAATTTAAGTCTGAATGACATGATTTATAAGCTGGTCTAGTCAGTCATTAAAATATTTTATTTCTGTCCAGTGTTCTCGGACATGTGGAAAAGGATGGAGGAAGAGGATTGTTGTTTGCAAGAGTACGAATCCCGCTCCCAAAGCCCAGATCCTACACGGCAGTGCGTGCAAGGCAGAACCTAAGCCCAAAAGCCAAGAAACCTGCCTGCTGAAACGCTGCCACAAACATCGCAAACTGCAGTGGTTTATATTAACATGGAGCGAGGTACAGTAACAGATTACAGTAACGTTGAAAACAATAATGAATTAATAGATTGCTCATAATTCAACGAGAGTAGTGGCTAGCCAGGAGTGATAAAACAAGTCATGAAGAGGGAAGCAATGAGTGAGCTTTAACCAGTTGTGCCTCAAGGTGAAACGATAGACTTAAAACGTGAATCAGTCATTTACACCAAAGACTTTGTGGCTTCATTGTGCTTTTGGTTAGTTTTTATTTAGGGAAATCTGACCGTCAATATCAGCCTCATTCACCACAAGTGGATGCACATCACTGATTGTTCTTCCCGTGACTTCCAGTAACTTTCAGTGATTCCGATCACAAAGAGGGACTGCCTTAAGTAAATGGTGGACTTGTTGAATCTGTTCAGAAATACTCATATCAAGTCCCTAAGACCAACTGTTTGGAAACATTGTCATTCCTAAAATGTACACCGAGCAACATATTGCTTATCAAGCAGTGATTGTGAAATATATCCTGTCTGAGTTAATTGGGAAAACTGCAATCTAAGAAGATCTGTTATGTTGTGTAAAATGTGGCGATGTTTAGTGTTTGCTCTGCTGGTATCCATCTTAGTATTTGTTGTTACCTTAGACCCAAACTAGTGCCAGTTGATTTCATAAATAATTTATTATGTGTGTCCCTTTTCTTTCATTGTTTCGTGGGTTTAAAATCATTCCTTTTTAAAAAGGTGCATTTCTTGCCTAGTAATATTTACAGTAATTCACATCAAACTACCTAGAAACAATACCATCAAAGAGTACAGTAAAACCCATATAAGTCTTACCTTTATAAATTGTCTAACCGCCTATGTCATACATTCATTCGAATCCCATTCAGTTTCAAAACCACTTAGATTTCTTTGCTCGACTTGTATTAATCACCTCCTAACTCGTAACGCCACTCCCCTACCCTCCATTACTCCCCCACGTACCGGCTGCTTTGAATTGCAAGAAATGACGTCCTGACCCGTCGACGCATGCGCACTTACAGTCCGCTGCATTGAATCAAAGGAAACATAGCCTTCATCTGTCGCCACAGGCATTAATTTCCCGTGATTCAATGCGATCCCAACGCTTGCCAGTAAGTGCGCATTCGGCGACGGGTCAAGATGCATTAAATCGCGGGAAATGTAGCCTTGAACCGTCACCATATCCGCACTTGCCAGCTGCATTGAGTTACTAAGCATGCACAGTGTAGATTTTTCATTGAATCGATTCATACAGTTTGCCTGCAATTTGGACTTTGTGTAAGTCATATTGAATGTTATGGTCCCAACTGATACGATTTATGTGAGTTATACTGTATTTACCAAATAACACATCGCTGATGAAACTACCATTGTGTAATTCCTTCTGAAAATACCTGAGTATTTTTAATATATTAGCTTGGAAAAATGCAGTCACTGCACTTTACAGAATACCCTGAGAAGCACTTTGGGACGTTGTACACCAAAGACGCTATACCACATGTAAGATTATTATTACTATCATAAATGTTTGAGGTTGCACACCAAGGTTCTGGTTTCATCTACGTTGGTGCTTTTTCCAGTGTTCTACAAGTTGCGGTAAAGGCGTTCAGAAGAGACACTTAAAATGTGCGGTGAAAGATGCTTCTGGTAAATACAAAGACTATGCTTACAAACGGTGCCATCACTTGCCAAAACCTAACATCGAACTGGAGAGAGCTTGCATCCTTAGTGCCTGCCCAAGATCATCCAATGACAGGGTGCTTAGCAATGCACTAGCAAGCTGGTATGCCTCACCATGGTCTCAGGTAAGACTCTGCAGTTCTTAGTTCTTTTGTGTTTTTTTTCATTCAGCTGGGTGTCTGAGACATGCGGAAATCCATCACCATGCTTAAGAGTATCCAAACAAGACTGAGAATTCCATGCATCTCACCTACACGTGGAAATTCCAGTGTTTTAGAATGGAATGCTTTCCCTGAAGGGATGCATCCTGCTTACCTATTTCTACAACAACAACGTGCACTTATATAGTGCCCTCCCTCCACGCAGGGTAGCATCTCAGAGCGCTTAACAGTGGCGGTGCCTGACTCCGAGCCGGGGGAGTGGCGGGGGGGAGGTGGCCATAAGCATGGTCAATGAGGAAGATTTTCAGGCGGGACTTGAAAAAGGGGAGAGAGGGGGCAAGGAGGGATTCAGAAAGGGTGTTCCAGAGTTTCAGGGAGTAGTGGCTGAAAGCACGACTTCCGATGGTGGGGCAGAGGGTGCGAGGGATGAGCAGGAGGCCGGTGCCAGTTGAGTGGAGGCACCGGGTGATGGAATGAGGAGTGAGGAGGTCGGAGAGGTAGGGAGGTGCCAGAGAGTGAATGGATTCTAATTCTAAGGAGTATTAGGCTTGGTAGTTCTTAGGTCCAATGGAGCAGGGCTCCAGTAATACCATAATACCACTAGATTGATATCTTAGTACATCAGCACGTCTCAAGCACTTACAACAATGTCTTCCTTTCAAGGTCAGTGACTGGTATATGGACAGACTGACAGCAATTTAAAAGTTCAGCATATTTCCAATTACAACTTCAATTTGCACTTATAGAGACAGTACGTTTCTTGTATGAGAGCCCACATTCTTAGATTCCTTTTCCATTAAATCTTCAGGCTTTGACCTGCAGGGGGGATTCATTATAACGTGGGGTCTGGGACCATAAACAGTCCCAATGGTTTAAAACAAAGATCCAAAACACAATCGTCTTCCAGGTTGTCACCAGGTTACCACTAATGTAACACGGGTGCTGCACTATGCACAGGAAGCGTTGCTGAAGTCACTTTGTTCACAAAATGGGGCATTTCCTGTGTATATGAGCAATGTGTAGAAAGTGTTGTCAGCTGCAACCTAATGACCCACAAGGCAGCCATTGTTTAGTGCAGGAAGCTGGCTCAACAGGGTACTGTCTCAAGTATACGTTGTTTCCAGTGGAGCGCACATCCACAGTACACCTCACTAAAGCAGACCCATACACCTTATAACAGCACGGCCTTGGATTCTCATTATTTACTTTTCCCGGGTTTTTGTGCACACTTAATCCTTAGGCTCCGCCACTGTTAAGCTCTCCTGGACGCTGCCCCATGTGAAGGACACTATATAAATGCAAGTTGTTGTTGTTTGTTGTTGATTTATATAATTGTATTGCTCAGAACGTATTGTTCTTCAAATGTATTGTGCTTTCACTGCGATGCCCTCACCTTCATAATTTATATCTAATGTATAAAAGGATAGTTTTTTCTGCACTACACATTGAGTGTAAGAACGGGCTAGCCACTGTTATGCTTGGACCTGCTAGCCAGACATTCATTCAGTCCTGGGGTTTATTTGATCTTCTGCTGATGAGTAATATGAATTCTTCCTTAAAGGACAAAGAAGCGAGCAGCTTTTAAACATATTGCAATGTTTAGCAAACTTGCGCAAAATGTGTTGACAGCACCTATCATCAACAAGCTAAGGAGAAAGCAAAGAAGGCATTTAATTTTAATAGAGAAACTTGGCGAGCTGTGTCCACTAGTCAGCCAGCTGCTCTAATTGGTCGCTGTAGTATATGAAGGATGTATTGCTCACTGCCTTACATTACCTGCATTCCTATCAATTGGTTGAAATCTGATAGGTTTAAACAGGGTAAAGTAGCGTCCTGGGTTTCGAAATCACACATGCTTTTGGGCTTAACTCGATTGTCACACAATATTTAGAACCATGCTGTGTTTTGGAAGAAAAGGTCTTAAATTCGGTCAGAATTTGGATGTTGATGCCAATGTAGTATCAAAAGAAAACTGCAGAAAATTGGCCTAGCCTACAAAACACACAGTCACTACTTTACAATCAATCCTGTGAAGAGCTTTGAGATAACCTCCTGACGTGAACAGCGCAATATCAAATGCAAGGATTTTATTACTGTACAAACTCAGGTTGAAGTTAAGTCTCCCTTTCAATTCCCTGCACAATTGTGAATTTTAAGAGAAATTTCTGCCCCCATATTTCCTAATGTCCAAAGTTCAGTGAAAGATATTGAGCACAACAAAAGTCAAGCAATCCTATTTGTTTCAATGGATCTCCCTAAACAAAATACACATTTCTGTATTTTCATTTGAAATCAATATGTGTGTGTGTCAGCTTGGTCCGGTTGATAACACTCTTGCCTCTGAGGTCAGAAGGTTGTGGGTTCATTAATTAATTGAATAATCAAGGTTACATTGCTCTCTGGCTCTCCTTGGCTCTTTCCGTCTACCTGGGGCTTATTTTATGGATTCTATCATCCTATAGTACCTCACCTTTAGTCATGGGTTAACACACAATGAGTCCCGGCAGACTATTTGAGAGTGAGAACGTCACAGCAAAGCCCAATGCTGTCCTTACTCTGTACTAGCACACCTCCACTGGACATCTCTACCTGGCGATCAGGAGCAGGATCCTGGCTGATTTTCCCCCTCAGTATCCCAGGACGTTGATGAAAATAGTAGCATCACTTCTGACAGATTAAGAGCAGCTAATTTAGCACAGACTGGGGTTTGAACCCTGGATGTACTCCGAGAACCATTGCCAAAGCTTGGAATACATTGGTTCTATGCTACAATACAATTTACATTTATATAGCACTTTTCACATCAGGAGGACGTCTCAAAAGTGCTTAATAATGCTGACTTGGCACTTGAGCTGGAACCGAGGGGTGGGGAGAGGAGAAAGGTGAGAAATTTTATGTGAATATGATGATACTTTGTTGCCATAGATTCACATACATTTAAAGAAACGTGCAATTCCCTCAGCCCCACCCCCATAATAATAATAATCCTTGCATTTGATACAGCACTTTATCAACCCGTCGAGATGTCTCAAAGCATTTCACAGGATATACAGTAAAGTGGTGTGACTGTGCGTGAATTTAGTCAAGATAAGTAGTTGGTGAAGCTGCAGTCATTAGGTTTGAGAAAAGATTGCATTCCTTGTCCAAATCCATTTGTTCACATGTTTGCAAGGAGCACATTGCCTTGCGGAATGGCTGGCCATTATTTGTAATATGGAGGTAAAGAATTATCCATATACAACTCTGACTGATTTTCTCTTTGAAACATTTGCTTTGCAGTGTTCAGTGACCTGCGGGGGAGGAGTGCGAGCTCGTGGCGTGCAGTGCCTTGCATACGGCAGACCTACCACAGGCTGCCTCCAGCATCAGAGACCTGTAGCTTCAGAAGCTTGCAACACTAACTTCTGTCCTGTGCCTGAAAAGAAAGGTAAAATCACAAACAGTGTTGTGTTGTCCCTAAACCTATTCTATTCCTTCATTATCCTGGAAACTGCCCTTAATACATATATAAATTGATATACATATATAGCATGTTTCACGTCAGGAAGACTTTCCAGGCGCTTAATAATCCTGACTTGGCACCCGAGCTGGGACCACGATGATGTTAGTAGCAATAGCTGTGATAGTGAGAGAGGCTGGAGGTGAGAGAGGGACCACAGATCAGATAACTAGCTTTTTCCTGCAATAATTCTTCTGTGAAGGACCAAATACCTGGAAGGATGAGTGTCCCATCACACTATTATACAGATCTGAGACTGTAAGCATGGCAATGGTAATAGTTGACAGCAAATTTGAACTCGTTGATGTTTGCATATAATAAATCATATAAATGCTTCAATTTGTAAGTCTTAATTATTGCATCCGTCACAAAACCAAAATAGAGTGGCACTGTTATTTAGGGTTGAGGGACCTCATTTGTTTGTGTTTCTAAAGTTGCTGGAACAAGAGTTGTAAAATTATGTTTCACGTAAGATATATCTCTTGGGAAGGGTGGTTCGGGGTAAGATCTCTGTAGAGATGTAAGCCTTGTAATTTGTGAATGGATGTAAAAATGGATCTTTTTTCCCCCTCTCCTCTGTTCCTCAACGCTTCTCTTTCACCACCACGCCCACTGAAGATGTGTTTTGCAAGGATTATTTCAATTGGTGCTACCTGGTGCCTCAGCACGGTGTCTGCAGCCACAAGTTCTACGGGCAACAGTGCTGCAAGTCCTGCTCCAAATCAAATATATAGACTGCCTCCATCGATGTCCCAACTACATTAACATTGAAATAACAATACTGCACATTGTACTATGGGCTGCATCGGCTAACTGATGAGAGTAAAGATATCTGACTTTAGCTACGGAACCTGGTAGCATTCCACTCAACAAGCAGCGGCAAAAGGGAACTGTTCTTACAACCACCAGATCAGAGATAAATCAGAGATAACTTTGCAGCACTGCCTGGACTGGGATCATCGGATTCCCAGGCAACAATGAACAGTATCAAACTGTACAACACAAAGTACTTAAGTGAAGGACTAAAAAAAATGTTTCCATCTGAAACTCATTCAAAGGAACGATTGATGTCAGCGTGAGTCTCTGTGGAATGAACTGTACAAAGACTTTGGGGGGGGCAAAAAAGCAGGAGGAAGGCATTTTAAAATACTGTATGAACAGGGTGAGGGAGAGTAAGTTGAAGTGAATTGTCCCAGCATATTTATTTTACCTCATACAGATTGAATGCTGACAATTAAAGAAAACCGCATTGTGCTGTACTGGAACTACTGTAGCTAACATACCATTGTAGCATACATTTTGCCCACTGGTTTCAAGATACTTTAAATAACCCAATGGTGCTATATGATTCTAGTAAAGAGCATGTATCTGTTAATAATTAAAAGGTATGCTCTTGAAACACATATTCAAACCTGTATTAGCAGATCCAAATGGAATATTTTGAGGCAGAGAGAATGAATTGTTTCAGTGACTGGCGGGAGGTTCAAGGTTATTTATTTATTGATCTCTGCAGATTTATCGAACGACAGGTTTTTTTTTAGAACTGGCAGCTTTCTTTATGGGAAAATAAAGTTCTGCTCTGTAACTGCAAGAGAGATGAGGACGCCGAACAATATTCTGCGTCAATGATTTTTTTTCAGAAAAGTACCTTTCATTATAATATTTCACTTTGTTATTGTCAAACGTTGTGGTATCACCAAATTAACAACGGTGCTTTCAAGTGCAACCATTAGTAGAATGTTTAAAAAGTCTAATTTATTTGCAATTATCCTCAACATTTTTTGAATCTTTTTGCCTTTTGTGAAAAGCACTGCACAGGTTTTCTTTAAAAAAAAGGTCAGAATTGATAAAGTACAATGGCTACTTTGGACTTTATGCAGCTCTGTGCAGTCATACTGTAAACGTTTTTCACCCAGTTGTGAGAAAAATATTTATGTTTTTATGGAGTTTTGTAATAAAAGTTCAACTGAATTTTCAGTTTCAGCCTTGTAGGTTATCCTACATTTCTGCCCCAATAATCTCAGAATGTTTCCTTTTTTAAAAAAAAGTATTGATGCTACTTGAGAGGAACGATATTTGGCAAATTTTATTAATTTTGCCGACAGAAACATACGACTACACTGTGCAGGCAGAGGAAAAGCTATTGTAAAGCAGTAACCTAGAATCATAGAAATTCACAGCACAAGAGGCCATTCTGCCCATCAAGTCTGCACCATCTCTCAGAACACACTATACTTTCAATCCCGCTATCTTGCCCTATCCCCAGCTGGTGTACTTTTCAACAACGACGACTTGCATTTATACTGTACCCTTCACAAGGGGTAGTGAGTGTATTAGAGCGCTTAACAACAGAGCAGTTTGACACCAATCCAGGGAGAAAGACGAGGTCATCAGCGTGGTCGAAGAGGAACATCTTCAGGTATGGTCTGAAGATGGGGAAGAGGGGCCAAGGCAGCTTTTCGGAGTAAGAGATAGTGATCTGCAATGTATGTTGTATGAGAAGGAAATATTTCAATCCTCAGCATGGCGAATGCCAGCCTTGACGAGGAAGAACACATCCAATGAAATCCCAGGTGGCTGTAATATTCACCCTCCCTTTGAATCATAGAATATTACAGCACAGAAAGAGGCCATTTGGCCTATTGTGCCTGGGTTGGCTTGTCCCACTCTCCCACTCTTTCCCCATACCCCTGCATTTTTTCCTTTTCAAGTACGTATCTAATTCCCTTTTGAAAGTTGTTATGGAATCTGTTTCCAACACCCTTTCTGGCAATGCATTCCAGACTGTAACCCATTATTATCTCTTTGGCAAAAGAGAATAATTTTGACAAGACGTGATAAGGTGTTATACCAAATGCAAGGATTATTATTACTAATAAGAGACCTTGCTCAGAAAGGAGTCCTCTTTGGTTCCCTAGCTCTTGGCAGGGCTTTACACATAATTTAACACTCATGTTACCACATTTGTAAAAAACACAACTGGGGCTAACGTTTGTGACACTCAATAACTATCACTGACATTAATGTATGACGACAATGCTTGAATGCAGCTTGGGATGGTTAACATGAAGCACTAATTGGCCACGAGGTGGGAGCACCCTCTCCCAGCGCAACGGTTCCCATCAGGCCAGGAATTCAACAAAAACAACAACTTGCATTTATAAAGCACCCTTCACCTGGCTAGGGTCACAAAGGTGATTTCAACATCATCTTTTTGTTGAAAGCAAAGGACTTCTCCAATAGTAGTTTTGATTTGGTTTTGTCCTGTCAGACATATAACGATTCGGCCCATCAAAGGGAGGTGGGGGAGGGGGAGAGAAGTGTGTCCACACGAGCATCTCACTAGCTGCCCTGGCCATCAGCTGTCAGGTCAGCCTCAGATGATATGGTCACAGCAGCCGCGCCGGAAGACATCTTCTGAATCGGTCACCACAGGCTTAACCACACTCGTGTGGGTGCTAAGAGCTCACAGTGACGTGACTTTTTGATCCTTCGTTTCGATGTCAGTTCTTCCTATCGTTTGTGAAGTAGAATTCACTCAGTTTAGGATTGTATCACCCACTGACAGCATCAGCATCCAAGGCTGCACTCTCCACCTCTCAAAGCCAATCAGGAACCTTGGGGTTCTGTTCGACCCTGAGCTGTCCTTTCTTCCCCACATCCGCACCACAACTGGCACCGCCTTCCATCACCTCCGGAACATCGCCAGACTACGGCACTACCTCACCCCTCACGCTGCTGAAACTCTGATCCACGCCTTTTATCACCTCAAGGCTGGGCTACGGGAACTCTCTCCTCGTCGGCCTTCCCGGCACCTCCCTCCACAAGCTGCAGGTCATTCAGAACCCTGCAGCTCATGTACTGTCCCGCACCAGGCTTTGGGACCACATCACTCCCACCCTCGCTCGCCTCCATTGGCTCCCCATCCCCCAGAGGATCGAATTCAAGATCCTCATCCTCACCTACAAGGCCATTCACGGCCTTGCTACCTCCTACCTCTCCGACCTCCTATCCCCCTACTTACCTGCCCGTACCCTCCGTTCCTCTGGCTCCGGTCTGCTCCACATCTCCCACCCTAACCGCCCTACCATCGTTGGCCGGGCTCTCAGCCCCGAGGCTCTGGAACTCCATCCCCCAGTGCCTTCGCCGCCTCCTCCCTTTTCTCCTTCAAGGCCGGTCTCAAGACCTTTCTCTTCAACCGTGCCTTCACCTCCCCTCTCGACTCTCTACCCCCTCATCGCTCCCTCTCCTCCCCTCACCCTGACCATTTCCCCCTGCTCGGGTCCCGACCCAACTGTCCAGCGCCTTGGGACGTCCTCCCGACGTGAATAGCGCTCTATAAATGCAATCTTGTTGTTGTTGTTGATCGGTAACAGGAACTGGGTTTAATCCGCCAGAGAAACAGGTTGGTATTACCCTACAGGTGACCTGATGTGTTGTTCTTCCCCATTCAAGCAATCGAACTGTGCTGATCAAAAGCCTCTATCTCAATCGGTTAATGCGACCACTGCAACTTACCTGAGAAATTCTTCCCTCAAATGTTACCCCAAAGAGATCTCCTAGTATGTTTCATCCTTACCTTGCAGACTCACATGACTATTGCCATGCTGGATTGCCCAAAAATGCACAGTCACTCCACTTCGCAGTAAAAATCCCATGAAATATTTTAGAACGTCCTCCCAAATGTCCCATACCGAATACAAGGATTATTATTATTTACTGAGACCTGTACAATTGGCGGCTGTTAACATTCAGGAATTTACGACTAGCAAATCAGAAATACCCAGTGACTGCTCATTTTAATGTACTTTTTGATGTTGCTTCAATATTGGTTTGCCTCAAAGTATGTATTTGCATTCGCACCTTGGCAACTGCTAACCAGAGGTTCAGCTGCTTGCACTATCTATCTCCAGAGACCTGCACAGGGAGGGGAATGGAAGTTCTTACTGACAACTGTTAAAGATCACACGTGAATTGAATTGTGGAAGTCTCGACATTTTTCCCTGCAGACGCAGGATGTTGGCTTTGATTCAGTGGCTAATTAACCGGTCTCGAGGGTGGGTTGGGGAAGATCTGAGGCTGGAAGTGCAGAGAACAAAATGTAACAGTTACAACAAAAGCTGTTCTTGTAACTTATCCTGCGAAGTGACCAGAAGTGCAATAGTTCTACTTCATTTTTTGGGATCAGCCAGGTGTCTGGCACTTGCAGAGCCCTTTTCACCATGCTTAAGATTATCCAAAACAGACAGAATCCCACCTGCACATGGAAATATCCCTGTGTCTGGAGCAGAATGCACACTCTCTACCTGGAGGGACCATCCTGCTTACTTTATTTTGAAAACATTTCTAAACAGGCTAGATCTTATTCAGACTGGCAATGGCCCGTCCACGAGAGTTGGTACTGCCAATCCACTGCCAGGTATTTCTGAAAGCAAAACAAGTTATCCTGTGCCAAATAGCTGTGACTTAACACAGTTTAATTCAGACACATAAAAGACTGCCATAAATGAATAGGAATAGATGAAATGATTCCTTGCATTGTGTGGTGAACCGTTGTGTTGACATACAGCCTGTGAGGTGCCTGCAATTCAGCTGTTTTGCTTTGTTTTGAGTGCCGACAGCAGATGCTGGAAGCACTGTTAAAATAAGTTAATTTGGAGTGGAGCTTAGCTGTTCAGAGCTCAGAAGGAGAAAGCCGGCCTAACACTGCTATTGACTGCACCATATTAAGCTTCAGAAATGTTTGTGATTTCAACCAGTCCACTGGTCACCCTGAGTCTTGCAAATGATCTATGATAAGTCGTTAAGCAAACAATGTTAATAAAACCTATTGTAGCAAAGCATCCAGTCATTTATGATGTGAACAAGCTGTGTGTCACTTTCTTATTCATGTAAGAATTCACAGGGAAATATTGGTAAGAGTTCTTTCCTGTGCAACCTCGTTCATATTTTTAAGGCTGATGGAAGATTGTTTAAACCATAAATGCCTTCAGTTTACTGAAGTAAATCTGATGCAGTTTGCACACAGTAATATCCCACAAAACAGCCATGAAAGCAAATGATCAATTTTATTTGGAGAATTGTTGGTCAGCCGAAACTCCCTTCACTATTTGAATAATACCATGGGATCTTTAAAATCAGCTGAACAGACAGAATTACCTCAGTTTAATGTCTCATCTGAGGATGGGATCAAGAAAGAACTTGCTCTGAGAAGCATCTCATATGATTCCTGTATGTCTGGTGTGGATCTTCACTCCATCGGTGGAATTAGTAATGAATGGCAAACCACATGAGCTTTTCTGTAGCCAGTCTGTCAAGAAGAAAGCATAGTCCAACAGGCTGGGGCTTATGAAAGACTTCCTGACCAAGCATCAGGTCAGCACATTGTACCAGCCTGTCCAGCATCTGAGTTAAACCAAAAGGGCTGGATGCAACATTACTTGAATGTTAATTTCACCTGCATATTAATTCCCAGAAACCCACATCCATGCATTAACTCAGCAATAATTGAAGATCAACTCCAAATAAGTGCAGGCTGCACTCCAGGTTAAGAGTGGAAACCTGCCCAGATATTTTAAGAACTGTCTAAATTGTTACTAAAATGATTATCTGTTACTGTTTTGTGTTATCCTGTGAGTGGAATGAAAAGGATTAAGCACACACAATTAAATCCAATGAATGTTATTCTACACTAGTGCCTAAATACTTTTGATTTTATCGTACTGTGGTTTTGTAGATTGAGTAATAGGTGTTATGCAATGCGATCTGTAGGGATGTGATTAATTAAAGATGTACTTTACAATGAGTTTAGATAGGAATTTAATTTTTTATCCACTTAACTGCATATTTACTGCTGTGGTATTGGCTCTATTCTGTTGTGCAATAGACTGGATGGGAACCAGATCCAATTTGGGTCTTGAAAGCCCCAGACACGTAAATTAATTTTGTTTTCCGGAATAATGT